CACAAGGGCGCTGTTGTAGTTTTCGTACTAAATATTTTGATGGCGATTCGAGCACGCAAACGATTTGTACTCGAAAGTTTTTCGTGCTAGTCGTACAGAGCACTACATGTTAATTATTTATCCATATAATAATTATGTAGTCTGTTAAATTGTTGCGAGCAAAACGACGAGACGTTTGCTTCAGTGACAACAGTTGCTATTGTGTATGAATTTTACCGTCTGCTTGTAATAAATGAGTTTTTGCTAAATGATTTTACCTTCATTTAGGTAGTTGTATTAAAACATGTTCTTTTAGTGTAAATTGTGTTGTAGAGCCAGATTAAATAATATTTTCTTTGAAAGCAGTCAATTTTAATTATGTTTAGCACGACGTAAGATTTAATCACATACATCCTTGTATAAAATCTTTCTGCGTCGTAAAATTTACGTTAGCGACGAGTTTAATAATATATTTTGTCTAGAAAATGGTCTAGCTGTGATTCATGCAAGAATAAATTAGTAGGCTAGTATAACAGAATATTTTATTATACACAAGAATTTAAACCCATCATAAAAATAAATTCAATTTAACTTTCGTTTCTTAATCGGTTCTTTTGCGTAAATGCAAATGCTTTTATTGTAATAACTTTGTGTGTGTCACATTCGGAAAATACGCCGTCGTTCAATTTGGAACGGGATGATACGTATACCTACACAACGTAGGTAAACAACAAATTGAATATGAATTTGCATATTATTTTGATACTCCAGTTTTTAATTGAATGTGAAATAAGTGACACACTCAAAAATATGTATTTTTAAATTTAAATATTAATCGAATGATTTAGGTTCTAAATGGTATTCAATACCTCTAGCAAAACAAATTTCGTCTTCGATCCGTTTGCGTACTAGATAAAATTCGATACTCAATCTTCGAATTAAACGATAACGTGACAATTTTGATTCTCAAAATAAGTTTCGTGCAACACGTTCACAATGGTGCTGTTTTAGTTTTCTTACAAAATATTTTGATGGCGATTCGAGTACACAAACGATTTGAACTCGAAAGTTTTTCGTGCTAGCCGTACAGAAAGAGTTTAAATCTACAATTCGTTTGTTCGTTTCAGCCACATAACGTCCACTGCTAAACCAGGGGCCTCCCCCAAGGAAAGGGCCCCCGTAGAGCTGATGGACACTTGGGCAGAAAAGTCCTCGAGTGGCGATCATGAGCCGAAAAACGTAGCAAGATCTAGGTTATCAACCTAACCTTTCGGTTAAATTTAAATTCAATCGTTAAAAAAATACAGGAACATGAATAAGATTAACATACTTGCGACTTGAGTTAAGATTCCTATCTGAAAGCAAAGTTATGCTTGTTACCAGCTGCGGTCGCCTTCCCAACTCCACAGGGACCCAAAGTTGACTATTTGCACAGTAATTAATTACTTACCTACGCAATTTTTCCACCTAACAGCGCCATAATAGAGTACTTAAGTAATAAAACGTATGTTCTAAATGCCATTACTAAGTTTACGATATCGTATAAATTAAGATTCGTGACATTGTGACATTGGTTTTGTAATATTCATTATTCACAGTATGAAAGTTCAAAATGAAATGAAACAAAATGGAACAAAATGAAAGTTCTAGAAGAATTAAGAATTTAATCTGTCTAGTCTAAGATATTTTGCAAAGCTTGGGCTATCGTAACACAAAGAATAAAATTCTCAGTAAATAAGAAAGGCCGCGCTACTACTTGTAGGTTTTATGTAGAAAGCATGTAGAAATGCAGAAGGGCTCGTAGTCATTAGTCCTTTACTTAGACTCTAGGTAAGAAAAGTCATTATTACATCTGGCTACATATTTCTTTTGCAATAAAGCACCCATGCTAGTGGTTATACGAATATTTCTTACTTTACAAGAAATTAGGCTTACAAAAATAACTAGGAAGTCAATATGGGTATACTGTCGTAATATACCATCAAATTAATCATTATATTTAAAACTTACTGTATAGTAAAATAGAGACAACTGAACGAAGTCTTCACTGATTGGCACCTATACTATAGTACTAGCGGCCGCCCGCGACTTTGTACGCGTGGATCCCGTTTTACCCCTTAGGAGTTGAATTTTGAGAAATCCCGTCTTAGTGAGCTAAGACGGGATTTCGCAAAACCTGCGTCCTAAAGGGAACCCTCATGCAAAATTTGAGACTCCTAGCACTTGTAGTTTCTGAGATTTCATGATGTGATTGTCAATCAGTGACCTTTCGCTTTTAAAGATATACGAGTAGATTACGTAATATGCTTAACGCAAAATTTTCAGGCTTACATTCTTAGAAATTTGAAATACTCGTAGGTATCATTTAGATAACGTGGAAAATTAATAAAGCCGAAAAGGATTTGACCCGAATGGCATAAGTTGGGAGTGTCGGATAATCTCAGTTTAGTGGACGAACCCTTTCTCGCTAATTCGTTTAACTATAATCATCAAGAGTATTAAATTATGTATATTAAATTACGAATTCTTTTAGAACTGAGATGTTTAGAATCGCTCTAGAAAATGTTAAAGTTTCTCTGTAACTTATGTAAAAAAAAACTCTTACAGGATTTTCCCGCTAATTCCCGTTCCCGTGAGAATTTCGGGAATTCCTTGTTGTAACTAAGCTTTAAGTTTATTAAAGTACCTACATGCTAAATTTCGAGCGAAAAAATTTCATAAAAAAGGACTTTCCCGCTAATTCCTGTTCCCGTGGGAATTCCTAAGTATACTATAACCTGCCCAGGAGTATGAAGAATAATTGTAATAAGTTTCGTTAAAATCCGTCGATTAGTTTTTGTTTCTATAAGGAACATACAGACGGACAGACAGACAAAAATTTTACTGATTGCATTTTTGGCATCAGTATCGATCACTAATCTAATAAAATATTACAATGTAAAAAATGTCTTTCTAATTACAGTTTGGATGAATTTAGTTAGTTAGTTTACTTACAGAAAATAATGTTGAATAATAAAGTATAACAATGTGTAGGTATTTCTCAATAAAAACTGAAAATTTTATGGGCCATAAATTGATTTCCTCACAATAGTTACATCTCGTTTCAGACAAATGACGTCCACTGCTGGACAAAGGCCTCCACCAAAGTTTTCCACAATGAACGGTCCTGTGCTGCCCGCATCCAGGCTCTTCCCAGATCGTCGGCCCACCTAGTAGGAGGCAGGCCTGCCCACGCTGCGTCTTCCAGCCCGTGGTTGCCACTCTAAAACTTTTCTGCTTCAATGGCCCTTATATTAGTTACAAAGTTACTGTAAAACTAATTTAGCTATAATTAAATTTTGTTTTAAGTTTATGTCTTACAAAAATTTACGGGCATTTTTTTTGTTCAGCCTTTCATAAGGAATTAATGTAAGAAGGTAGAGATGATGACTTGATATTCAGTATTTATTAGAATATCACAATACATAATATAGATAAACGATTTCGACGAACAGAGCATCAAGTAAAAAACAATTATCATATTTTTAGAATATATTAGTTGACACCATCTGAAATGACGCGCCATTTAAATTTCCTTCCTGAAAATCGTGGTTATTGCAAATACCCTGCTCGTAAAATCCACAGATTTAATTAATTTAAGATATTTATTATCATCTTTAATGAACCTTGCATTATTTTTGGTACGACGCTTAGTGTAACCATAATTATTTATTATATTAACGCAAGCCTAAATAATAAATTATGGAAAGGTGTGATATTGTAGACATTTTGTTATCATTCCCCATAATTTAATGGTATAGGCGCTAATGAGGCAGTTTACAAACCGGTGTCGGGTTACTTTTCTCGTTTAATATTTAAAGGCGCATTTACGTTTAACTTATGTCTTTATTTGGTACTTAGTGTCGACTAGAGTCTTTAGTAGAGTATAAAGACTCGACTTAAAAGGATTTAAAGTTTTGGTTCTTGTATTAGAGCCAAACAAAATTCTGTTTATTGTAAAAAAAATGTGTTTTTATGTCTTTCTTACTTAAATGTATCTATGTTCCTTTGTTTACGTTAATATACTGGTATCTGTAGCTGGGTGTTAGAGTTCAGTTTGGGTCTAGATAGTAGAGCGGTTTTTATGAATATTTATAGTTTATTTATTTACTTAATATATTTTTATTTTCAGTTGCTTCTAGACTTACATAAATTTGTAAATAAAGTCTCTGAATTGCATAAATTAAAAGAAATTAAGTATGTTTAAAAAACTAATGAATTATTTATCAATATGATTATAGAATTCGAGTGACGCCCGAAGCCGTTTGTAAAATTTCACTGACTGCCGGATTAACAAGAAATTCTACTTTGCGCATTTTACCAGAAGTAGGTAGGAAATTTAATATATTCCCATACAACATAGAGTGGGAAAATCATACGGAAACTGTGAAGTTTTACACGAGTGATTACCTCTTTACATATGGTGAATACAATATCCCTATACTTGGCTAGTTTGCACAAAATTTCATAAAGTATTTCAGGAGTGCCGCATTTAACATCTAACAAATGACAATAGAAATGCTTTCAATTCCATCTGCATTTATTTTTAGTTTTGTTCATAATAAATTCTTTATAAGCTGTTTTGTCTGTGTCATAGTTTTATTCAGTTAAAGTTTCAAACGTTCATGCTCATGAAATGTTTTACAGCTCTATTTTTAACATTCCCACGTTAGGTACCTACACAAAGTGATTATCTTGAAAGAAACTAGTACTTCCGCCTTTCGTACTCTTTAATTACACAATAAAATTGTCTGCTTTGATTACGTTACGGCATAAACAAGAATAATTATAAAAGCCCTGTATTTTGGCGGCCTTATTTTCAAAGCTAATCATTAGGGAATTGTAGGTACTGATTCTGAACTCACATATTCAAATTCTATCGATTCTTAAACACATCGAGATTTTAATAACAAAATAAGCAAAAATAAAAATCAAAGCAGACAACTTAAAAACAAAACGTCCAATTATTTCCCTCTTGTTACAGGTTGCTGCTGAGTCCGGTCCACACGCATGACGAAACATGGAGAGCGTAGGCAACAATACCACATTATATGATGAGGACGCCCTTTATCCAAGCGAACTCACAGAAAGGGAGTTCGTGGTCAAAGAAATCACTACGAACGTTACGTGGCCGATCGAAAAATGCATAGAAATCCTCCTACTGAACGAGACAAAGACTGACGATATCATGAGGCGTGTGCACACGTACAACGGAACACAATTCATGTGTTCCGAACACGCCCCTGTGCTAACTAAAAGCACTGTAATTAGAGCGAGTATACTATCGGCGATGGCCGTGCTCTCGCTCTTCGGTAATTTAGCTACAATAATTAGCTTAAAGAGAGGCAAACGGAGTAGGGGGCGGGCGAGACCCTCTTGGACGGCAATATACAGCTTAATATTCCAGCTTAGTATAGCTGACGTACTAGTTACTATATTCTGTATCGCCGGAGAAGCGGCGTGGTCTTTTGCAGTGCAATGGTATGCTGGCAACATTGCTTGCAAGCTGTTCAAGTTCCTTCAAATGTTCGCTTTGTACTTGAGCACGTTCATACTAGTCTTGATTGGAGTGGACCGATGGCTGGCCGTCAAATATCCCATGAAAAGCATGGCCACCGCAACGAGGAGTGGAAAACTAGTCATTATTGCGTGGGTGTTGAGTTTCTTGTTGAGTATACCACAGGTTAGTGCTGTTACTTCTATTTTACTTTAAGATTTTACGTACAGCTGACTAGGCTGTTGACAGCACATCAGTTTTTTTTTCAAATCTGACCTAATACAATAACATAATAGGTACTACAGTGCTTTAGCTTGTTGTGCTATCGGCCGTATCTACTTACAAAAACATGGAAGCAAATAAAATTTAACTACGCAATACAATTAATAAAATGACTCTAGGATCTTTAATTAAGTAGATTAATTAAAACAAAAGACTCAATTCTAAATCTACTCTGAGGGCTATTCACATTTATTATCTGAAGAGCCTATTCGCTGAGATCTTCAGATTCCAATTGCGTTTATACACACGCAGAACTCAGCGGTAACGCATAAAATAGGGCGTAGAAGTACACAATCTAGTTTATCTGGGGGCACGGCAGTGCCCCCACCAAGTCGAGCAAAAAAGCGGCACGGCCGTACCATCCTTTTCTCGAAGCAATTCAGGCTATTTTCGACTGCCTGTAACTTTGTTGTGGATAAAACTAGAAGGCTGAATTTTCATTAGCTATGCAGGCATTGTAAAGACACGGTATATTTAAAATTTAATTCAATTTGAACCAGTAGTTTAAGAATTATAACGGGTCAAAGTTACTTAATTTTGTCACTCACTGACTCACTGACTGACTCACCGATCATCAAAATTCTAAGGCACTTCTAGCAGACCTAGAAGCTTCAAATTTGGAATATAAGTAGTGTTTNGTGGATGAAAATGTATCAGAACGTTCATGGGTAATACAGCTGCGTAACTATAATGTTTGAACAAATGTGGATCTTATGGCATATTTCAATACAAAATAATTATATGAGTAACGCGCTGGTTTCAGGTAATGACATGCAATCCTAATTCGCGGCATTCTTAGTGGGTGCAGTCCTGTTGTCCCCCCTGCTTGGCCCCCCTAGGGGAGCCAACAGGATTTCGAAATCCTGTTGTCCCCCCTGGCTAGGGGAGACAACAGGACTAGATTTTTAATCAATGATTTGAGGACTGTTGTCCCCCCTGGCAAAAATTATTTAAAAGCCATAAAATTTTATAACATTTAAGAAGGACTGGAGTACCTGAATGAATGGCAAATTGCCAAACTGAATACCTAAACGTATGTCAAATAATATTAACATTTGGATTAGATAACGAAAAAAATATAAGTTCTTGGTACCGGTACTATTTCAGACTATTTCAAAATCTGCTTTACTTGCTTTTGACAAAATCGTTATGAATTATCCCTATATATAAATATAAACATATAGACATATAGCGGACAAAGCCGTAGGCAAAAGCTGAGTACCTCTATTATGCTATTCTCATGTAGTATAAAAAATATTATCTAGGTACTGTAAAGTTTATCAAGTGTAAGTAAAAATCCGTTTAGTAGTTTTTACGTGAAAGAGTATCAAACATCCATACTCACAAAGTTCCGCATTTACTTACAACATTAGTAGGTAGGATGCTAAAACTGAATAATTTTAAATCTATACTTAATATTATAAAGCTGAAGAGTTTGTTTGTTTACTTGAACGCGCTAATCTCAGGAACTATCGGTACGATTTGAAAAATTCTTTCAGTGTTAGATAACCCATTTATTGAGGAAGGCTATAGGCTATATACTATCACGCTACGAGTAAGTAATAGGTGCAGAGCAAAAATGAAAAATGTTGCGAAAACGGGTTTTCATGCATACGAAGTCGCGGGCACAGCTAGTTAATCATAATATTCAACAAATTACTTGCTCAGTGACAGTGATGCAACTAGCAGCCGCCCGCGATTTCGTCATATTATTTTCAATCCTTTAATAAATAAATTCCATTCTTAGTGGATGTCTACACCCTATAAGGAAACCTACATGCCAAAGAAAAACGGTCACACCCCATACAAAAAAAACCCAGACCCGACAGAAACGAGACATACCTCAGTTTTTTTGTCATGTCTTAATTAGTTTAATTATATATTTTTATATCCGAAATCTATGTATAACACCAAAATATTACCCTTTGTTTTTGTTCAGGCGTTATACAAAAACTAATACAAAATGCCTATTTATCACCAAAATTGGTAAATGTATGTCCCTAAATGTCTATTATAGCTGCTATGGAATGTATCTAGGTGACCTGGAGATACAGCCGGATTATACAGGGTGGTTATACATATGGAACGATAAGTGATCTCACTCGATTATTTCTAAACTATACAAGATATCGAAAAACTAGTTACAGATTCTGAACGTGCTTCACGAGCTCTTTCAAATAGTACCAATAATAGGTTACAGATTATGGAAGTTGGTAACATTGAATTTTTGGATTTTGTAACTTCTCGTTTCCACCCTGTATAATCCGGCTGCATCTCCAGGTCACCTAGATACATTCCATAGCAGCTATTTAGGTACATACATTTACCAATTTTGGTGATAAATAGGCATTTTGTATTAGTTTTTGTATGACGCCTGAACAAAAACAAAGGGTAATAATTTGGTGTTATACATAGATTTCGAATATAAAAAATATATAATTTAACTAATTAAGACATGACAAAAACACTGAGGTATGTCTCGTTTCTGTCGGGCCTGGGTCACAGATGACCGTTCTTCTTTCAAGTTTGTAAGTGTTAGTTAATACCGGCCGGCACCAATACCTATCAAAATTGTAATATTACCTTGACAAACGTTTAGGTATTCAGTTTGGCAATTTGGCATTCAGTCAAATACTTCAGTTTTTCATAAATTATGTTATAAAANTAAGTGTTAGTTAATACCGGCCGGCACCAATACCTATCAAAATTGTAATATTACCTTGACAAACGTTTAGGTATTCAGTTTGGCAATTTGGCATTCAGTCAAATACTTCAGTTTTTCATAAATTATGTTATAAAATTTTATGGCTTTTAAATAATTTTTGCCAGGGGGGACAACAGTCCTCAAATCATTATTAAAAATCTAGTCCTGTTGTCTCCCCTAGCCAGGGGGGACAACAGGATTTAGAAATCCTGTTGGCTCCCCTAGGGGGGCCAAGTTGGGGGGACAACAGGACTGCACCTTCTTAGTGAAGAAGAATTTTTTGAAAATGGACCAATCATAAGATTAAACACCTCCTCCAACTTCTTATGCCTGAAAGTATTCCAGTCATCCATGACCTCTCATTTACGTTGGACGACTGCCAGTTGAGAGGTCAACTTATATTTTGGAACTTGATCTACTATATGAATCTAAACATACTGTAAACCGTTGTTTAGTTGCAAGTTGCAAGTTTTACAATTTATTGTTTGTCAGAAAACAAAAGTATCAAAGCAAGCATTCGCACAGAAAGCTTAACCATTAATATAGTAGGCAGTATTTACGTCATAAAATTGTAACATTCTGTAAGTTCAAAAGTGGAGGATTTATCAAACTTAAAAGCAAGGCAATTAAAAGTTACCGAGCACATTTCAACCCTACGGAGTAAAGTTGGGATTGAAATATTAAGTGTCATTAGGTAGGCGGACACATTTTTAAACTGGTATCATAGCTGAGTCTATTACTATGATTACTAAAAATTACTCTATATAGTTTTTAAATTTTAATTATAGTTACGACGACATTGGGTATGTGTGACAGAATTAAGTTATTTAAATTAATTTTAGTGCAATTATTTCTATTTTACCATACAGTGCTATTTTTATGCAGTAACACCTCAAGTTTATACCTAGCTATGAGACTTTAAATACGAAAATTATACAAAAGTATAATATTAAACAATGAAACCAATAGCGCTCTTGCAATAAAATTTCAGTTCGCGCATACTCGTAAATACTTATACTTCATGTTATTCAACTCGCGTACAATAACAACAAGTTGTATTGACGTCAGCACCCTGACTACAAGTATAAATGTATTATTGTATTGAAATAAAAACAGCAAACTGAAAATGTAGCATATTTTATATTCCAACATTGATTACTCATGACACATCGCAGTTTTTCGTTTTAAACAAATACAGCTGTTCGAACTGACTGCTAAATATATTTGTTATTAATTAGGGTATTGTTCGTTACACCGTACGAGACGTAGCGATACTAAAAACGATTCGACACACATTAAAATATACTTCGCCGTGGTAAACTGACAATGTCGAATACTATTAACGAATAAAAGGCAATCTCAAGTAACCTTGGACATAGTTTTTCATGAACCGTCCTTATTCTTTTGTAACAAATTAAAAGTCCGTCCGATTTTTTCATCTGCCAAATTGAGAATATAAGTCTTAAGCCATCTGAAAACCCGTACTCAATAAAACCACTTATTTCCAGCAAAATAAATTTTAAAACAAGGCTTGGCACATTTTGAACATTGGCTGTGTGTAGTATTGGTTATCTAAATAAATAAAAATTAAATAATTTCAGGCAATATGATACGGTATTAGCTAGATAAATTATTTAGCTATTTCCTGACGACACTACTGTACCTAAACTGGTTAAAGGGGTTAGGGTTAGACGTAAAAAAGGATAAGTGATCATTTGGACGGGTACAGGCTAAATTGGATCAAGATTGCTGAAGTGATTTGGGGATGTTTTTCTAGTAGTTTCGCTGGCTAGACTATACTATCAGGCAATCTGATGTTGCTAAGGTATCATGTAACTATGTACTTCATGATGAGTAAAAGTAGTTTTTTGCCGCTGGCTGCAACAGTTTCGCGACATTTTACCAAAACTGCAGTGACAATAATAATATATGCATCGATCTTAAAAGTTAATAAATTATGTATAGATAAACACTTTAGTTAAATCATAGAATTTCTGAAAAACTAGTATTGAAATCGGACTGTAAAACAAAAAAGTTACAAGTGTTTAAATATTGTATGGAAAAAAAAACATAAGTATCTTTTGAAATATTTGATAAAGAAAATCACTGATTGATTTTATAATGCCAAAGCTACTGAAATATGAGAAATAGAAAACCTTGCATATTCCCTTTTATATTTTCATAGTGAAAATAATGCAAGCAAATTTTACTCGACTCTTGAATTTTAACATAGGTAAAGCCTGAAAGTTGTATGTCTGTCGGATGTTGGATGTTTTCGACGGCTATTTCCTATCATTTAGTGAACTATGGGTAAAATATCTACACTAAATTAATAGCAACAAACTAATCAACGAACAAATTAAAACTTAGTTGAAACGTAGGTACCAGGAAATGTCTCGGGAACCTTTTAGTGAAATGATATTAATGTTAATTGAACCTTTTGTAACTTTGCTGGAATCTGTGGTTACCGGAAAATATATTTTATTAACCGCGTTTAATTTTTAGAAGTAAGGTGACTTTCCTTGCCTTTCACCTCTCAGGGCTATATTTCACCGGGAAACCATGACGGCGCAACCAGTCACCGGCTACCAACAAAATGTATACAGCTCTATAGAGAGTTACTCACCTGGTGTCCGTTTGGTTGCGCAAAGCTGCATACATTTTGTTGGTAGCGGCGACTGGTTGCGCCGCCATGGTGTCCCGGTGAAATATAGCCCTTATATTAAATTAGCGGTCGCCCGCGACTTCGTACGCGTGGATCCCATTTAACCCCCTTAGGGATGGAGTTTCGTAAAATCGGTTCTTAGCGGATGTCTACACCCTATAACGAACCTACCTGATAAATTTAAAGTTTTTAGGTGATAAAGTTTCTGAGATTTCCTATTGAGTGAGTCAGTCAATCAGTGACCTTTCGCTTTTATAGAATACTAGCTTTCCGCCCGCGGCTTCGCCCGCGTGGATTTTTGTCTGTCACAGAAAAACTTTATCGCGCGCGTCCCTGTTTCAAAAACCGGGATAAAAACTATCCTATGTTCTTTCCCGGGACTCAAACTATCTCTATGCCAAATTTCATCAAAATCGGTTGCGAGGTTTAAGCGGGAAAGCGTAACAGACAGACAGACAGACAGACAGACAGACAGACAGACAGACAGACAGACAGACAGACAGACAGACAGAGTTACTTTCGCATTTATAATATTAGTTGTGATACTCGTAGATTGTGATAGAAATCGTATAAAACTTATTTTATGTATTAAGTAATTAAACTTTTTTAGCGTTATGAGTTGTATTTCAAACTAAATTTTTATTAAGTGTCATTATCAATATTACTGCAAAATTAATAACTAGCTTTGGGCGAATTTCATGGCTATAAGACTGTTCGGTTTTATGTTACACATAAAAGAATTTTAACAAAGATCATTCAGAGAAAAATAATAGAAATAATACAGCAAATCTCTTATTACTCTATGATTCTGAAAATAGTTTTTTAAGCATTACATATAGTAACAACAATCCATTAACTATCCGTGATTTGCCAACTCACGCTTTCCGACATCGTTACACTCAAATAAAGATTAATCTACTCAATTACAGGAGATTTCATCTCTTATGGGTTCATGCTAAATTTATTTTGCTTGAACTATTACAGATTCATTTAAAATTAAGATGGAATTTGGTGATGATATTATTCAACCACATGTTAAGTATTACTTAACCTGTGATTACCACATGGATTTATTTTTGTTATGATTTGAGCAATATACATAATTAATGTTTAAATTGTTTAAAACCTAAGCTTTTATTTGTTTTCTTGACCACAACACCAGTTTCCCAAAAGGTCTCTGCTGAAAAGACTAATGCTGAATCAGGGATCTTTTCGACACACTGTCTTTTGTATTGTTGTGAAATTCAAAATATTTTGTGTGCCAATAAAGTAATTCTGCGCCGCTCGCATCCAGGCACCTCCCGAGACCTTCACCAGATCGTCGGTCCACCTAGTGGGAGGTCTGCCCACGATACGTCTTCCGGCTCGTGGTCGCCACTCAAGAACTTTCCTGCCCCAGTGGAAATAATTCGGTCTTCGTGGAAATCCTTGGGGGAGGCCTTTGTCCAGCAGTGGACGTCGTTCGGCTGAAACGAACGAAAGTAATTCTAAAAACGCCTCTGCAATGTTTCTCTTTAGTAAAAAAGTAATTGGCAACCCCTACGTAGGAGTGAGCAGTGAAATAAACAAATTGCCCGCAAAAAAGTGATATATTTACATAAGCTGATTTCCGGGAACTTTTTCGTTAGTGTCAGGCAAATGAAACACTCAGTGGCGACACTCCTTAGCACAATTAATTGACATAAACCCACTCTTTTAAAAGCTTTGGAAGGCGTATTAAATTACGGGGTGTAATTCTTAAAAGGTCACGATTACCCATTAATATCAATTACTCCTTCTTTCATTGTTTTATTTCTTTCATGAGTCACGTTAATTTAAGCATTTCCTGGGCCTTAAAATAGATGCGTCGTAATTGTACTCGTATATTGGAGTTAGGAAACAATACGTTCTTAATTATTATTAGTAGGTACATAATTAATTAGTGTTACAATTATTTTAACAATAAGATTTATAGAAGTAGAATCAAGTACTTATTATTATTCTGTGGTAGAATCAAGGGTATTGATATTTTAATTATGCGTCGTTATAATCTCAATATTATAAATTTTGAACCGAAAAGTTACTCTGAGTTCTATGTGTCTTTTCAATTGTCTAAAATGAGCAGGTCGCTTCTATCTACTTTTTTTTTGTTCGTCAAAACATTTCTGAGACCTAGATTGAAGTTTTTTTATTTAAATCTCTTATTCTTATTCAATTCTATATTTCTCTTTGGAGTATTAAAATTTAAAATAAAAATGTATCATACTCGTGAGTGTAAATAAATCCTTATGTGGATCGTTTCGCAAAACGGTCCTCAATATTCCACACCGAACCGCATTTTAGAAGTACCTACTTCAGTAAGTTATATAAGAGCTCGTAGATTCCATATCTTCAATAGCTTTCATACACCCCCAAATGATTCAACATTTTTCAGCCACGAGGTCTTTTATACTGTATATTCACGTTTAAAATTTTACGCTCTTACTCACACTTAAAATATTGTTTGAAAGACTTATAAAATAATATTTTTACACTACACAGTGCAACTTTTATTTTATTGTTATTACAGCAATAAATACACAGATAGTTTAAAAGGAAGTGGAGTAATAAATAAAATGAGCCATTTATTTTAAAACAGTGACAGAGAGCACTGTGTGCAATGTGATTAAATATTTAAAAAATATTTTTCTTCACGAAAGTTTCAAAAACATTCCCATTTATAAGCAAGGCGTGATGTGTCGAGAAAAAAAACGTGTCTACAGCGAAAAATACTCCTATACGATAAAAATACGCTTTGAATATCATGTTAGCTACGCCTTTTGTGCCTTATTTTATGAGTAAAGAAGTTTTCAGTACTTAAATGAATATCTAAGTTTTCCATTAAATAACTTCATTTTTATTTACCACTACAAACAAACAGATCTCGTTATACCAAACAAAGCAAATTACCTTATGTTTGTTATAAAGCTGTTAAACTTGAATAATATTTTGTCGATCGGTCCAAACTTCTGAGTCTAGTTTTCAAAGTTCGCGACCGTGAAATTAGAAGAGTGCCTTTGAGAATTGAATGTTTTGTTTTATTATTGAACAATACACACCCGTGAAATGTATATAAATATGTAAATGGATATACAAAACGCTTACTTAGCACTTATGTTCATCACATGAACTAGACGAGGTAGATATTTAAAGCTTTCAGTGTCTGAAATTACAAACAGTCTGATTTCAACATTTTGTTTTTATTTCAAGTGATAAATTCTTTCGTGAAATAAAAATAAAATGGCGAGCTTCTGTCCAAAGTTGATTTCACTAAAACATGTAAAAAGGGAATGAATTGATTGATTGATTGATTGATTTTTATGATTAAGGTAGTGAAATCATTTATTATAACCTATAAAATCTTTCTAGAGTGGACTCTGATCCGAACGAGATAACATTTTATTTGAAAACATGAAAACAAATTGGTTTACGTATAAAACAAAAATAAAAAGATTAGGTATACCCATTAACGCTCTGATAGAATAGTTTTCCCATATAATTTTACATCTAGTACCAGTCGATTTGATGGAATCAATGACGTATACCGGACAACTCTATCCTTGGATTTTGCTCCTTATTTTATAAAACTACGTAATGATTGAAGTTGTGCATTCACGATCAGTTAAAGTGTTCAATTTTTGGTGTACGTTAGTTTTACTGACCGTGTTCAGCTGATGTTGCAAAAATATTGGTGACCGGTTTTTGTCAACATTTAGATGAATGACTCGTATTTTTTTTTCAGGCAGTGGTTTTTGGAGTGGCTAAAGGCCCTTTCGTGGAGGACTTCTACCAGTGCGTCACGCATGGGTTCTACACGGAAAGGTGGCAGGAGCAAGCGTACACTACTCTGTCCTTGATATTCATGTTTATCTTGCCTCTCCTCATATTAATATCCACGTATGTGTCCACAGTGAGAACTATTGCAAGTAAGTTATCCTTACTTATAATTACTTTATTGTGTGCGTTGCTTATGGTTTCAGCATTTCCTAATAAATTAGAAACTAATCATTAGAAGAGACATTCAATGTTTTTAATAAGTTTTTATCTAATAAAAATTGGCCAAGTACGTGGGCCACGCGCAGTGTAGGGTTCCGAAGTTGTCCGTAGTTACCACAATATATTTCAGAAACAAGCAATTACTTCATCTAAAGTCACTTTGTATATTTTCTTCTAAGAATTTTTTATGAGGAATAAAATTTTATAATACACGAGTCAAATGACTATTACTAGTACTGATGTAGTATTATTATTACGAATTTTTCCACATTTTTCAAGCCAATAGTAAAAAGCGGCACGGCCGTACCATCCTTTTCTCGAAGCAATTCAGGCCATTTTCGACCGCCTGTAACTTCGTTGTGGATAAAACTAGAAGACTGAATTTTCATTAGCTATGCAGGCATTGTAAAGACACGGTATATTTAAAATTTCATTCAATTTGAACCAGTAGTTTAAGAATTATAACGGGACAAGGTTTCTTAATTTTGTCACTCACTGACTGACTGACTGACTGACTCACCGATTATCAAAATTCTAAGGCACTTCTAGCAGACCTAGAAGCTTCAAATTTGGAATATAAGTAGTGTTTGGTGTATGAATCAACTAAAAACTAAAATATTTGGGGGTACGGTAGTGCAACCGCCAAGTCGAGCAAAATTTTTTAATTTCGGTTATGGCTTGACTTGGTAATAACTTGGGGCACAACAGTGCCCCCAGATTACTAGTACTAATGTAGTATTATTATTACGAATTTTTCCAGATTTTTTAAGCAAATAGTTTAGATTTTAGAAGGGGGCGAAGGCCCTAAGGTACTCGTACAAAAATTGGCACTTTAAACTTTAATAATTTGCAAACAGATCTCTACATGGAAAAATAGCCCTAAGCCATTTTAAAAGACCTATCCAATGATACCCCACACGATGGGGTAGAAGATGAAAATTATTGCCACTACGTCATGTAGTGCTACCCTAATTTTTTTTTTTCAAAATTTTATTTTACCGTTTTGTCGTCGTGATTAATATACCTACCTCCACAAAATTACAGTTCTCAAGTGCTAATAGTTTCCTAGCAAAACCTTGTCAGGACCCTAAAAAGCAAGAGAATTTGATAGAAAAGTTACGGGAGCAGAAAATCTTAAAGGTCAAATATTATCAGCTTTCAATCCTTGTCATTATGAGGGAATATAAAAGAACTGATTTATGTGATTGCTTGTGATTCATGTAAATTACTATTGGTGAAATTAATGCTTTTTCTTGGTAACTTGTCTAACGAAACGTAAACATCCTTATTTAATGGTTAATATTTATGTCCTCTTACGATTCGGATATTCACATACCTAAGACGTTGATGTATTAACATCGAGTTTTGGCCTCATAAGAAGACTCAAGGTCACCCAAAGGGCAATGGAGCGGGCTATGCTCGGAGTTTCCCTGCGTGATCGAATCAGAAATGAGGAGATCCGCAGGAGAACCAAAGTAGCCGACATAGCTCGCAGAATTGCTAAAATCAAGTGGCGGAAAATTGCCCATTAATTATTTTACTTCTTTAAAGTATTCGTAAGTATATTATATTGAACAAATTGTACGTAAAATGATTTGTTCGTTCTTCAAATCATTTGCTAGTGATTTACTTGTGTACAATATTGGCATAAAAGGCAATACATCTATGGTTAAGTATGTGATATTGGTTAGAAACGTTCCAATGTAATAAATCAGTGGGGCTCAGCACGTGCTTCATATAAGTGAGACAAATTTCTGAATTCCTTACTCTATATTGAAAAGAAATAAAGATTTCTACGTGATTCCTTTTCAAATTAGATTCGCTTAAGTGATGAAGGCATGATAGTATAAACAGTATTAACACTGGAATGATATGATACGTTTTATAAAATTGTATAATTTTTTAAATAAAACTTTTTCTTAAGATGTGACTTTTTTTCTTAAAATGTAGGTATTTTTATACACAGAGTCATTTTCACTTGGAGTCACTTTTAACACACAATGCAATACATGCTTATCATTGGTTAAATTTTTAACACTGATATACTGGCCTTTTTCTTCACTTCCACTAACATACTATGTTGCAGCATTCACACCTAACCTAACTTTGCTTTTCTCATATCTTGCAGACCACATTTTAAACCTCGCCCACAAATATTAAATCCTTGCCTCCGAGTTCCCTTCTAAATCTCTCTCCATTTAATATGGTCCAACCACTTCCTAGATAACGAGTGAAAAGATAAAACTGCATGTATGTATTAGAGAGAGTAAACGTATTACGGACGCTTTAGCTTAACGAGTTAGTGTTAATTTCACTAAATTGTTTTACCTACAAGGTACTTTTGTAGGTTTAAGCTTAAACTAACAGGAATTTAAAATTGGAAAATTAATGGTACAACATCAAGAGTAAAGGTCCAACCAAACCAACGCGATCACACGCGATCAAACATCAGCCTGCGTGCAGCGTGGAGATCAATGCATTTGTCTGATCGCCATCGCTGCACGCCGGCAGATCGCGTATGATCGCGTTGGTTTTATTGAATCTTAAGACTTGAGACCTGTCAGTCGGTATTTTACGTAGTAAGCCAACGTTGTTTTGCTGCAAGCCTTAGACAGAATTAGCTTCTTACTAATAAAGAAATGGAAATTCGAAAACTGAGAAGAAAAGATATAGAGGGATTTTCTCTAAATAATTCCCCTTCAAGTTTCTGTAATGGAAAATACAACTCAGAAATAAACCAAACAAACAGATTCTGTTCATATCTGCATGCATTGATCTCCACGCTGCACGCAGGCTGATGTCTGATCGCGTGTGATCGCGTTGGTTTGGTTGGACCTTTACTCTTGATGTTGTACCATTAATTTTTCAATTTTAAATTCCTGTTAGTTTGAGCTTAAACCTACAAAAGTACCTTGTAAAACAATTTAGTGAAATTAACAATAAGTCAAGAAATTTTAAAAATGCTTCCTTTTATTTCAGAGAGCGAAAAAGTCTTTCAGCCTGAAGTAATGAGACACGGAAATTATTTGACTCCCGATATGAACCGACGGAGGCTGATAGATCGAGCTAAGATGAAGTCCCTGAGGATGTCAGTAGTAATAGTCGCTGCTTTCATCGTCTGGTGGACGCCGTACTATGTGATGATGATTATTTTTACGTTCCTCAATCCGGACAAGAATGTAAGTACTTCAGTTACATTACAGTCTCGGATTTTACAGATTTCAGACTATGTTTGATTCGATTTCGTAAAAATACGGATTTAGAAAGCTAACTAGAGAAATTGGTTTGGGTTTAACTAAAATTCGTTTCTCCAAACAAAGATATTTGATTTTGATGATGAAAGTAGGATCTAGTAGGTAAGAATGTAAACTACCATACAAATAGTTATACGACTATTCCATGTTTGTGAAATCTACACTAATATTATAAAGAGGAAAACTTTGTTTGTTTGTTTGTTTGTTTAGTTGTAATGGATAGGCTCAAAAACTACTGGACCGATTTTAAAAATTCTTTCACCATTCGAAAGCTACATAACTCACGAGTAACATAGGCTAAATTTTATTTTGGAAAAAAATAGGGTCCCGTAAAATATTTGGGATTTTCATAAGACGTGGAAAAGCGCCATCTATCGTCATTGGTTAAAATCTTCTTGCGCCTGACAAAAATTTTTGAGGTACGTAAATATTCATGAAGGCAAAGCTGTCAACCGCCATCTATCGACATCATTAGTAAATTAGTAACTAAATATTACATGTACTATGAATAACGCTGTTCGTAATAATATTGAAAATTTAATAAATAAAGATATTTTATGTAATTGAACCATTCACTGTATGTACCTATTTGAATCATTCACTGTGTTTAAACGAGCAAATCAAAGTGTTAATTAGTGACTTTTTACAAACTTCCTTGCAAATTCTTATTAAGTGCCGCCATCTACCGAGATGAATATTAGGGTACGGTTCAGCNAGAAATCAACTACGGGGGCTAAGGAGATAAAAGGAGGGTTGGAAGTTTATATTATGAAAGTCCTATGTGTTTAAAGTAAGCGAGTTGAAATTTAAAATGTATGCGCTATAGATGCTAAGAGCGGATTTTACGAAACTCCACCCCTAATGGAGTAAAACGAGGTCCACGCGTACGAAGTCGCGGGCGGCCGCTAGTGTGCCAATATATTTATACAAAAATCGTTCGTTCGTTCGTTCGTTTCAGCCGAAAGACGTCCACTGCTGGACAAAGGCCTCCCCCAATTTATACAAAAATAAATAAGGGTAATTTGGTTAGTAAGACATTCGATGTAGATAAATAGATCCTTTATTACACACCACACAAATTGATAGTCATAAATTACTCAGAAAGCTAGAACGGCACAATTTAGGTGATCTTTTAGCGATCCTTTAGACAAACTAGAGAAAAGACAATTCTTTTCAACTTTAAAGTAGAATGAAAGGTTATTAGAAAGAACAAAAAGCTTTTACAAGTAGTAGACTAACGATAGAATAAGGTTTTCCGAGCACGTTCCTTTGCTAGGTTCACGACTTATTCATACTGTGAAATAATTTGGTCCCTGATCAAACAACCAATGACCACATAAAATTGGTGAATGTATTGCTACGGCCATAAACGTTCATAAGTAATAATACGAGTAGATATCAACCGAGTTCAATAACCTGACGTAACTGTGATATCGGATATTATGGTAATAATAACACATTTTATGTCTCAAAATAACTTTGAACGTTTCTATTGTGTCCTTCTTTATAACAAAACTAGCTTTCCACCCGCGGCTTCGCCCGTGTGGAATTTTGTCTGTCACAGTAAATCTTTATAGCGCGCGTCCCTGTTTCAAAAACCGGGATAAAAACTATCCTATGTAAGGACATAAGGGAAAAATCCCGGGACTCAAACTATCTCTATGCCAAATTTAATCAAAATCGCTTCAGTGGTTTAGGCGTGAAAGCAATACAGACAGAGTTACTCTCGCATTTATAATATTAGTATAGATAAGTAGTATTAAAGTATAGATTGTACGAATACGTCTTTAGAAACCAAAATGAGGGAAACTAACTATGCTCCTAACTAGTAAATGACTGAAACAAAGATAGCTGAATGCAGTTAGTGGGTTTTAATAATTTCTTTATCATTACTTCTTTACAAAATAACTAGAGTTCAAATTAGGTACCTATAAGCAAAGGAATCTCTTTTTCGATCTTTTATAATAATTAGTAAAAATTATCATACTACTTGATGTAGGTCGTCTCGTCTCTCATTTATTAAAGCCTATCTATTTAGTTCATTGCTATCTCCAACTTGATAAAGGGCAACCAACATGTTTTATCAAATATAAAAGATATGAACCTAATAATCATCCAGCTTTTCGGTCTTCATAGGATTACTTCAGATTATAACATTCACTCTTGTTCTCACTAAAATGTAGGCAAAAATTCGCGAAACAATATAAACAAGATTAAGCTCTGATATAATGGAATCTTTAGTAGGATTAGGTGAGAAAGTTAAATAAAGCGTAGAGGCTTCTGAAATCTTTGCACTTTCTGACGAGTAAATTAGAAACTCGATTTTGTTGATTTTAAGTCGATAATGAGCTGAAAATTTCCAAATTTTGCAATAAATTTGGATCTTTTATCTTACTTTCCACATTCTACAATACAAAAAGTAATTGACTGAAATAGCAACTGCAAATTAATTACAGTAGTTCATAGAGATCAAAGTTGGCAGAATAGGTAAGTTTGCGGCCAAGCCTTACTAGATTTTGTGAAGGTTTGAACAGAACTTTTAAGATTTTTGGATAAAACTCTTACTAAAGATCTTTTATCTTTTGACTTAGTTGTAGTGAGGTTTTCTCTAGCAGTAATAATGTAGCTCCTGCTTAAAGTTTAAAGTAATTTACATTGAAATTACTAACAAACACACAAATGTATCCTAAATATTCAAAGGGAATGCCTACAAATGACATTCTGATACCTATCAGACTTGTAATGTACAGTCGCGGAATAAAAAGGTTCGTCACCTTAGTGTCGGTTTTCGCTTGCACTAGGTACTGTAAGAGTCAAAGCTGCCAACATAAACGTGCAAGAAACAGTGCTGCTAACATTTAAATAAATATGACGTTTGCTAACGAATAAGGTTTTGCTTGTTTATTTTTCTATCCCATCAGTGCAATGTTACAAAATGTAGTTTTTTATATTTAATAGATAATGGCAGGTTGAACCAACAAGAAGGTTTTAGTTTATCAATCATAATAATCTTCTTGACAAGTTAAATCGTCAAACAACTTTAATTTGAATAAGTTTGAACTTTACTGAAGAACAGTTAAAGATTATATTCTCTAACTCGAGATTATTCTGTAACATAGTTTCAAAAGGTAATATGTGCTCGTGATTCGTTGAAGGAATCAATTTGAAAACTGACGAACCTTTTCATTCCGTGACTGTACATAATGTATTAAAATTGGCTTTGTCGAATTTGAACCGACTAAAACTCAGTACGCTGTCACACACAATCACGAAGCCTGAAGCAAAGATTCGTTTAGTTTTGAGTTGTTTACTATAGTTGTATGGAATAGTCTAGGGTAGACGGAGGTGAGTTGTAACAGAGGTGATTGTTAGCTCGAGTCTTGAGCTAAAATACGCGCACTGTTACTCGATAGTATTTATTAAGTTCCAAAAAATCGACAATCTCACAACTCTCCTCTGTTACAATTCACCTCGGTCTCCCCTATCTACATTTTCGCTATTCAATAAAGCTTTACTGCGAGATAAACGAGAATAAGGCAACCCGTTTTATTTACTTGCCTATAGGATTTACTTTTCAAATTATCTAGAGGCACGATTTAATCTAAACCGACGTCTTGGTTTATCAGGACAGATCGCTAATATTGATCGTGGAGGAGACTGAAATGAAAGTGGTTTATTCACAGATGAATAATTCTTGGGTAGGTGTTAGCAGTGATCAATAATAATATTATTAGTAGTAATTACTGAAAAAAGTGCGAAAAAAATAATTTTGTGCTTCAAAAATGAGCATGAGCCATATGGGCAATGAGCATGCACGCAATATAGTACATAGTTTATTTTAAAGTCCGGTATAAAATTTACTTTTTGGACATTGCCTAGTGTTGTTTGTTCGTGTTATGTAATAACAGGCAAAACTTTTTTAATATGTAAGGAGGGGATAACGGCGGTGGTTGTACAATAAGTTACACCAAATGTAAAACAATATGTACGCGTAGGTAATCTAAGTTGTAAAATTGTTTATTCTAAATGAATGTATTGTTCCAGCTTAGCGACGAGCTTCTATCCGGGATCTTCTTCTTCGGGATGTCCAACAGTCTAGTCAACCCTGTGATCTACGGAGCATTCCATTTGTGGCCAAAGAAAAAAGTGTCAAGACACAGTGACAGGTTAGTATCAGAATATCAGACGAAGCGCACTAAATAGTGCGGTTTTTGAAAAAAAAAACAAGCATTAAGAGTCCTCCCAAGAATCAGAATTGTATTTTAAATCTTGTTACCTTGACTTAATATCAAAATCCAAAACATTTAAAAAGTTTATGATGCTGAAAGATGGTTAATGTAGAGCTCATAATGTGTGAAAATGATCGAAACGAAAATAAGTTTCTGCAAAAAGGTTGGGTGAAGATGTTTATAAATGAAGTAAGGATTTTCCATATGTATAAAGCTCGTGTGAAATACTCCATTCTATATCACTATTTTAAAGATTATTCAGAGTCTGTCGCCAAAAAAACTAGGACGTTAGCATTGAAGTAATATTACTACGTAGTACATTATAACTCAATGGACGTTAGACGTTCGTATGATTGGTCCTCTGTCAATGTGTCAGCATAGAATGAACTCGTATGTAATTATTAGCAACACAGCTCCGTCACGTAGTGTCAATTTGTACTGAGTGACTGGCAAACGCAACATAGTACATTTTACTTATTACAACACTGTGGCCACCGCTTACAAGGAAAACGTGGTGAAGCCAGAGAAAAGTGACTCAACAGTTTTGTTTTGGTTGGTCCTGAAGGCGGAAAAGCGCAATAATTTCACCTTAATCTAAGCTGTTACGTGATTCATTGTGATTTTCTCAGAACTTATGAAACGATACGATGCCGAATTCGATTGAGCAGAATTCTTCACACAAACGTATTATAAAATACATTCTATGATTGGGTATCAATATCTTACTGAAATAAAATAAATAAAAAATGCATTTAATTCAGACATGAGTGCATAAATGGCAATGCCAGATTATGTATGGAAGGTGGCGTCTTTTTTTTTTCGCGCGGCCATCGACCAAACTTTGTTTTTTGATTACAAAATAGTGTAATAAACCAAACTTACTATGGCATGTATACCTCTAAACTCAGTCTGAACTGAGTTACGAGCATTAGAAGTTTGATGATTTTCATACTAGATTTGCTTTTTGCGCGCAAGTTTTGTAAGAAATTACAACAAAATATTGCGCT